ATACTGCCTCTTTGTAATCGATCTTAAGAAAACGTCAGCCAATTTACCATTGGAATTAACAGAAATCAGCGCGACTGAACTCTAAAGCAAACATTAAATGGAATGAATGACCCAAATTTTACAAATACTTGCCTGAGACGTTCCCAGAAAGCCTCAAGCTTGCATCTTACATGATTTCTTTGTTCGGTTGTATACACCAGTGTGAACAACGTTTCTTATGAAAATTAGCAAGATGCAGGCGAGAACCAGGTTAACCGACATTTATGTGAAGATCAGTGACTAGCATAACATCAGTGACTAGCATATCTGTCCAGACATCCCAAAGCTGGTTGCAGGAACAAACTGCCAGGTGTAGGGAAAGAAACATTTGATGTTTTTTTATCGCCTAGACGTGAAATTAAGACTTCGTTCAGGAGATACGTAACTTCCTAAATCGCCTATGTTTTGAATTCAGCGGGGCGCTGAAAGCATATCCTTTCCCCTGATCTTTCAAATATCATTTGATCGGATAATTCTCATTTTTAATTTATAAAAACTTGGTTTAATATGAGTATTTAGAAAATTTTGCATGGCAGAACTGAATTGAAATTTATCACTTACCAGAGGCATTACTGTAAAGTTTTGGTAAAACATCCAAGTTTACAAATACTCGGTCATATCCATATTGGTTTTCAGCGTAACAGAAATATTGTCCTTCGTGAACAGTTGTCACTTGAGGTATCGTGAGTGTTGCAAGATATGTATATAATTTCTAAAAAATATAAAAAGAATGATTTTATGTTCAACAGTAATTGAGAATAAAATTTGGCAAGTAGCTTCCAGTAAAAAATTATTTTATTTGCTTAATTAATACTGAATTGAATTCAGAAGAAATTACATATTGCTTGTATACACTAATATACAATACAATATATATATAATCCATAATTAGCACAAATGGAAGAAAAGCACGTTAATGGGAAATTTCAGAGTAAGCAAAATGTCAGTCTCCGTAATCAACTCTCCGCAGACCTGAACAATTTTTACCGACTAATAGTTTTACACTTATGAGCAATTTCTATTATTTTTTAAAGCATTTCCTTGAATAGCCCCACTAAATGTTTTTTTTTTTTTTAATGTATCTGCCGATTTTTCTCGTTTTCATAATGTGGCTCCTGCTTGGATTACTGCTGCAACAAATGCAGAAGAAGGCTAACTACATTCTAGAACTTGGCACTGAGAATCATAATAAACTTTTCCCTGCATTTTAAGATATATAATAGCTTCTTGTATTTTAATATATATAATAGATATAAAATTAAGTACATTCTAGAGCAGGGCACTTTGAATCGTAACAAATGCAAAGTTTTAAGGTAAATTAATGTTTCATGATTTCAATTAAAATATTTAGCATGATGTCTGCATGTAGTTTCAGCAATACTCTCCTACGTGCAGGACTCTTTTAAAGATTTTACTTCTTTCGTAAGAAAATTGTTGACTATCATCAAACTATCGACTATCTTCTATAAACAACCCAGGTAAGAGGGTTGATCACGAATTTAATGTGATTAGCTTTTATGGCATGCAATATTATTATTCTACTATCCTTTATCGTCCACAGGATAAGATTCAAATAAACATAATACATAGAGATTATTATTTGTTAGTTTGTATGAATCTTGAGAAATATAACTAATTCGTGATCCACGTTTTATACAATGCAGCAAAGAATAAGATACATTTTATAATCTACAATGAAGAAAGAATTTTCTTGGTAAAGGATGTTCTTGTAAAAATGTTTAAAGATATGAGTTTGAAAAACTCACAAAACATATAATAACAAAAATTGAGAAAGATATGTATTTGTAAGTTTTACAAACACATATCTTTGAACATTATTATAAGAATATCTTAGTATTTTACAACGAAAATTACTTTTCATGACATTATAAAACATTTTGACATTGTTGAAGGAAAGCATCAAAACACTTCCGCTTGAAATATCTGGAATGAAACATCTGTAACTTCGGATCGATTAAACACTATTTGCCTATAAAATATATGTATAGTATATTTATAGTAGACTTTAACCATTAAATGAGGCTTATATCTATCATTCAAAGATAGCTTGAAGACCATTAAACATTTATAAAATAATGCAAACTTCTCACTTGATTATAAGGTTTCATGGCCAAATCATATTCAGGACCTTTAGTTAAAGGATCTCTCGATTTGCTGTCTTTGTACCAGAGAACTCGCGGCTCAGGATGCCCTGAAACTAGACATCTAACTGTTGCTGAGCTTCCTTCTTCTGCAGGAATTCGCTTATCTAATGCTTCAGCATGAGGCTTGACTGAAAAGATATTTCATAAGAACAAAAGGAACTTCTTTTAATTGATTCAGTAGTATTGGCATATCACAATAACATTATGCATATGCAAATGAATGTAAAACGCTCTCCAATTTAATGAATCAAGTAATATTCTCAATGAAATTATTTATAATCTCCACTTTTTCTTATATGTAAATGGTTTTGGTTATAAAAAACTATAACGCTTTCTTTTATATAAAGCATACACTATTTGGGTTTATGAATCGTAAATTTCTTAAAGAATTCTTTTAAAAGTGGAAAGAGTAGAATTTTCTGCTTGTGTATGTAGCTTTTTTTCCTCGTATTATTAAAAAAAAATATTTAATGTAATTTTAAAAACCGTTTTAAGAAAGCAAATATGAATTTTAGGGCAATGTCTAGAGGTAAAATCTCTTGGAGGGTTAACTTACAAAATACAAACAAATATCAGCGAAACTCAAACTACACTATAGCATAACTTTTAAATTTCTGGCTAAACATTTCTTTATGCTAAAAATATGCATGCACATGTAATGGCTCTCACTTCTGGGGGAAAAAAAAAAAGAGAATCAGAAGCAGATGGGGCTGCTCTGCCGGCGCGGTCAACGTGCACAAATGTGCTAGCATCATAATGCAAGTTAACCATTGTTCACAAAGGTGCAAGGGCACCCCGCATTAAGACATGAAGGTGACAGTACTCCTATGTAGTTCAGTTTATCCATACAGAATGAAACAATCATCAAAATTCCCGGATTTTCTGTGAAGATCCAAGCGAATAGTTTCCGATGGTGCCGGCACCTTTTGCAAGTTGGTCATCAACCATCAAGACACAAGGATGGGCCGACATCCTTGTGATGTTCAGTTTACACATGAAGTATATACATGAAATTGCACTTGAAGAACATGCTTTCATCAAGATGCCTGGATTCTCACGTGAAGGTCTTTCGTTCAGTGAAAAGTCACCGACATGCGTAAAGATGGTGTCATCGTTCCGAAATCGTGCGGCACATGAAAATTCACCGCTTTTGGACTATGGAGTAAAGAATTAAATCCAGTTAAATGAATTCGCGATGATCTAATAACGACAGGCTTAGACGATGAATTTAATACATTTAGCATTATACTATATTTCGATTTTTTTTTTTTTCCTGAGGGGGGATGCAGCGTCATTAAACTTCTTTCTTACAGTGAATGCTTTTTTTTGGGGGGGGAGTCCTGAACTCTGCAATTGTGATAAATGGTTTATCCAGTTTTTAACCATTTATATTAGGTTACGAGGCGGTTCTAGAGCTACCGGCACATCGAAAAATTTCCCGAATTTCTGATAGTCCCATCTGCTCCTGTACAGATTACATGTGGGAAATCGAAATTTGGAAAATCGAAATTTATGAATAGAAACGGCATAAAAATGCCATAAATTTTAGGTAACTAGCGGAATATTCTTTTAAACGTGTAGATTGTAAATCGGAGTCGTGTGGAAATGGAAGTGCACTGTATCATTAATAATAAATAATAAATGAAATTTTAAAGCTTAGATTTTATTTCTTAAATAAATTAAGGCGTATGATTAAAATACGTTTTTAAAAAATAATTATACATTTTTTAATCTTGAAATGATATTTAGCATTTGTTACATTGACAAACAAATGAGATTATTGCAAAAGCTGTTGCCTCTATAGTTTGTACTCGTTGCTGTTGCAATGGCTGTGAAAAATCCCGTTCAGTAGTAATTAAGCACTAGTATTTGCAGTATGATGATATATGTTTCAGAGTTAATGTTATTTTAGACGGCTCGTTGTGGAAGTGAAAAGAACAGTATTTGATTTTAATTGCTATTAAATAATGAATATTCATTTAAACAATTTTCTGTTTAAATGAAAAAAAGTTTGAAAGAGTTCAGATTTTAACTATCGCCTGGAAGGGCTCGTTTAAAGTTTGATATGGTTTATCAGTAGAGATTATTGATGGAGATGACCTAGGTGAAACAGCAAAACATTTTATAGGATATTAGATTAATATGCTTTCAGACTAACATGGGAACGTTATATATCTTCTGCATATTTAAAAAGTAAAAAAGTATGTATAAAAATATTTACTGTTTTTATTTGAATATATCATGAATCAAATGCATTTTTATTTAAATAAATCTGCTTAAAAAGTAAAAAAATAATTACATTTAAGCTATGCATCTATTATAGATGTTTATAATAATTTATAAAGTATGTAATATAATTCTTTAAAAATATTTAATGTTTTTATTTGAATATATCATGAATCAAATGCATTTTTATTTAAATAAATCTGCTTAAAAAAGTAAAAAAAAAAAAAAAATTAAGCTATGCATCTATTATAGATGTTTATAAAGTATGTAATATAATTCTTTAAAAATGTTTAATGTTTTATTTGAATATATCATGAATCAAATGCATTTTTATTTAAATAAATCTGCTTTAAAAAAAAAAAAAACATTTAAGCTATGCATCTATTATAGATGTTTTATAATAATTTATAAAGTATGTAATATAATTCTTTAAAAATATTTAAGTTTTTATTTGAATATATCATGAATCAAATGCATTTTATTTAAATTAATCTGCTTAATAAAAAAAATTACATTTAAGCTATGCATCTATTATAGATGTTTATAATTATATTAATGCATCTATTATAGATGCATTAATAACAGAATGATTAAATATGAAGAATTAACATCTTATGTTTTTCCGAACGGCAACAGATTCGAATGAAAAATGAAACAGCACAAAACCGTGTTTCGAGATTAATAGCCCTTTTGAGTTTTTTTTTTTTTTTAAATCCCTATTAGAATATATATATTATTTAACTTCACCTCTTCTGGTAAATATATTTTAAGTTTGAACAGGGTGAATATCTTTATATGCGGTTTTCCCAATAAATATGCTGAAAAATTTTGGACTTCTTAAGGTAATAAGAAACAGATTAATTGCATAAACTGAGAATATCAAAAACACTTAAGAAATTAGGTACGTTATAAGGTATTTCTCCCGCCTTCTTAGTGTGCCTTCTTGGTGTAGTGGTCAGCACACTGAGCCGGTATTTCAGAGGCCCGTGGCTCAATTCCCGGCGAAGGCGGTTGCTAATTTTTCATCTCCTGCTTCCAATTCATCTAATGTCTCTACAATATTATAAATATATAAATTGCATATAGATACCAGTGTATTTTAGCATTTACTAACGTAAAGTAAACACAAATCTATTACAAAAGTTTTGGAGATTTTCCAAATTGTTCGCACGCAAACAATTACTAATTGCACAAACGTAAATCGCAAATCAAAAATGTATAAAAAGAACTTAAACAATATCTAACACATTCGTGATAATTAATGTGCAAGGTTAAAATTTGAGGAATTCAAAACATATGGCATATCGTCAATTATGATTGCGATTCATCTGAACTTCGTTATTCACAAAAGGAAACAAATAAAGTATAATTTATAAAGCTTTATAATTTTAATAAAGTTGTACTCACAATGCACTTCCAGTGACGTCGAGCTTTGAGCACCTTGGCCAAGTCCATTATCTGCAAAACATTCTACTTTTGTTATATTATGTTGAATATTGGGAACAACAAGAGCTACATGACTCTGCTGCTGTTGAACCATAAGCTCTCCGTTTAGGAATAATGATACTGTAGGAACGGGCATACCCGTTGCTACGCACAAAAGAGTCACATTAGCGCCTTCGACTATTGTCTCTGGAGGTACAACTACCGGAGGATTGAGAAAGGCTGGAATAGCAGGATCTGTCCAAGCCAAGATAATTTCAGACAAAGGACTTTCTTCATGTCTAGATCTGGCTCTGACTGCGATGGCATATTGGGTATTTACAGTGAGATTATCTAGTGTGATGTAGTTATTAACAGTAGCCTGGCGGAAAGGAGAATCTTCTATTTCTCGGCTAGCATTGGCTGGTTGGTAGAGAACGATATAGCTGAGAGAAGAACTGGCTGGCACATGAAAAGGTGCTTGCCATTTCAAAGATACGTAGTCCATTGTTTGATGAATCACTTCTAGAGAATGTGGCGGACTTAGAGTTCCTGAAAGAAAAGTTATGAAAAATTCTGTTAATTTTGCAAGTAACCTGAAGTATGTAATTTTTGCTAAATCTTTGTATTTAATTTTTTTTAAATTACATTAGTATGCCAAATTTGACTTTGGTTTACTTTTGCTAGATTCATTGTGTTGACAAATATTCAAGTTTTCGTAAATGACTGAGCACTTGCTGGCTATGGCTTGTGAGTAACTATGGTCAAATCCACCTATCATTTTACTATCTTATCACAGAGAATGTTACCCAAGAGACACCGTAGAGGACGAGTTATTTTACATTAGCAGTGAGGAGAAACAGCAAAACCTTACATGGAAGTCCAACCCATACTTTGGTTTCAGGCTAGAAATACCCTTCTCTAATAACTAATAATTTTCAATTAGATATAAGAACACATTTATCAGCTTTGGTAATGCATTGTTCACATTCAGTGACTAGGAGGTACCGAATTTAAGTTGCAGAGGAAGTCCAGGTTTGTTAATAATGACTGACTAAAGCAGAATAATTGGACATTATAGATCATCACAGTCGTTCAACTTGAGAAATTTCGACCCAGATAGAATGAGAAGTATGAAGTCACACACATTTGAAAAACACTTCAGATAAAAAGGATTTGGTAACATAGCTGTAATGTTCCGATGAAAAGTATGGTCTAGATTGTATCAGATTTTATGTATTAATCTTTTTATGTATATTTTACGTATAATCTTTTAATTTATGTATTTTATTTCCATGTCGCATATAAGCATGGAAATAAAAAGAAAATGCAGTGACTACGAGCAACACTCGCTACACGACCTCCCGGTTGATAAATTTTCCAGCCCCGCTCGTTTTTATCCGGCCAGTCAGACTTCACATGTAACACTATGTGTTTTTCATTGTTTAAAATTGCTAATAAAAGTACCATTTTATGATGAAACTAAAAAAATTTCGTCACACTGTTAAAATGCATTTTTAACTTACCACAATTAAATTTTAGGGGCATTAGCAGTTTGCAATGAACATAAAATAAGCTCTTAGTAAATAGCTTTAAAATTAATTAATTAAATATGATAAAAATTAAACAAAATAAAATTTGATTAAGAACAGCATTCAAAATTTTAACAAACTTAAAGCCTTCCTGTGATAGAACAAGAACATTTTTATCACTTATTTTTATTATTAGTAACAGTGTGTGGGAATTTTTAGTTATTTAAAGCTCCGCATTCTTGAAAAAATTTCTCCTTTTATTGGCATAATTACAAAACATCATTCGATGGGAAAACTTAGCATCCAAAAGCATAAAGTTAGCATAAAGTTCTTTTAAACGGTTAATAAATGAAGCTCGTATTTCCTTTAGTATGAAGAGCCAAAACGCACTGCTTATAGTTTAGTTTATAATCAAAATATTTAACGACAAAATCAGCAACGTATGCTGCTTTGGCTTACGTGACATCGCTTAAGTCTTATGACATAAAAATTATTTGATTTTACTTGGCCATAAAAATATTAATTTTAATTAATGTATTAATTACGTAAATAAAAATCACTCAAATTTTCATTTTAAAATAATATTTCAAATAATCCTATTTCAGCTACACTGTAAGATACTTTTTTAACGCATATCATCCATTAAAAGTTAAAAAGTAATGTTACATTCGTTACTTCCAGCATTATGCTATCTCCAGGGTAAATTACAGACATATAATTCCAATGCAAAAAATGCTATATTTAGGAAATTTTAGTATAAAGGGAAGTAACAATGCTAATGGAAAGAAAAATGTAAATTACTTTATGTTATAAGAATGAAGGACTCGTAGAAGCTTAAATCCTTATTTTTTTTTTATGCATAAATTCTTTCTGAACATCCAGCAGCCGAAAAAAATATTATATCACTTTAAGTTAAGAACAAAAGTACTGAAAATACTGTCCAGAGTATCATTGACACTCATAGCATCCCACTGTAACCACAGACTGGACGAGGGCCAATGAAAGGAGTTCTGGGGGTGAAACCTGAGTCGTTTCGGAGATTTGGGGTACGGTGTATTTTTAAATGTTTCTTAACTCCATATAATTAATAATCTTAAAATCGTTTTAAAGTTTTATTCTCTTTAATTATTAATATAAATTTAATGATTAGTAAGTTTATTATTATTTTTTAATCGATATAATTTAATGAAATACGCACTGTAGGATACAATGTAATTAACAATCCCAGCTCTCATAATAATAATAATAATAAATTGACTGGCCTCTTTTAATAGAACAAATAAGAATTTTCCTCTCTTTAAGTAATTAAGTGATTTTTTTTTTATAAAGTGTTTGCTTTTTCAAGTTTTCTTTACTACAAGACAAGTTCGTTTTCTAATTCTGTGTATTAAAAAGTATTTTATTTCTTAAAGCATTGGTCTATAACTCATATTGTATGCAGGCCAAAGGCACAATCTGAAAATATCTGAAAGGCCAGAATTTTTTTTAACAAAATTAAAATTTTTTATTGAATGAATAAATAATAATTTTAATAAATATGAATTTTCCGTTATTAGATTTCATTAGAACATATACAGACAATATTAATAATATAAAAAAGTTAAAATTTATTATTTTTTTTCTGTCTGAAACTAAAATTTGGTAATCTGCAAGACATTTTTATTTGTTGCACTTTGTAACTGCATTTTAACAGATAAATGTTAAACTTTTAGACACATTTATTTCAAATAATTCTAACATGTTTAATTAATCGTTAAATAAATTACTTGAACTTAAACTAAACACGAAAAATTAAGGAAACTTTCTACATTTTCAGAGAAAACTTTTAGAGTGAGAGAAAACTTGAGAATAAATAATGACATCAAACCTTTTTTTCTTATTTATTTAATTTTTCTTATACTCACATATGCTCATAAGTATTATTAATTTATTACTTTAGTTATTATTACAGCATGAAACTTGATGGCGTTTCGATTGTGGTGAAGTTTGTAGCTTTGGAGAGAAATTACTAGATATTATCTTTATCATGGATTGCAGATGCTCATATCCTCATCTAGTTCGTTTGTTTTCTTATTAATTTTAACTGTAAAAGAAGACTGTTCTCATATAAATGTACTTCCAAACAAAGCGATTATTCTTAGCGCTATAGAACTAAGCTTATTTACTTTTTTTGGCAAGTACGAACCTGAAGTTAATGAAATCTTATCTTCAAATCCTTGAATAAGATATATATCACCCTGTAAATTAATTAGCTCCATTTATAGATTTTCCAGTGCTCTTTTTATGTTCGCTTACATTAGTAATGAAATGTAAATTCGGACTTCAACCAACTAAAATCTTTAAATCTTTGCAACAAATACATAATTGAAACGCATTCACGGGCCGCGGGCCTCCAGTTTGAGACCATTGTCAACAAAAGCTAAAAAAATAATTAACAAATAATGTTTGCAAGCCAACGATACGTTCGACAGTTAATATTCGGCAGTTCAAGCACACAAAAGACATATTTCGAGAGCAAAGGAGTAGTTTGATGCAATGTTAAAAAATATCAAGCATGAAGTTTGCTATTTTGAAGTGCATTCCTAAATTGACTACCCAACTGTTTTTTCTTTCATTTCATGACTACTGCATTGTTAATTTAAATGCCGGGGACACAGCGACTATGAAATCTCTCAAGAATGATTACAGGTGGTGTGTGCCCGTCGTTGGCGAAGATCGTTACTGGTGACAATACGATTTTATGCCCAAGTACACCTCAGGTTTAAACAGAAGTTCTAGAATATGGAATCTGAGAATTTTATACACCTCTTTCCTTACGAGCGGCCGCTTCAGAGGACGTTCAAGGAAAGGATACAAAATTCAACCCTACTCGAATACGTTATACAATAATAGATAGTCATACATTATCCGAAATTTAAATTCTCGTTCTGCAGCTTGATAACCGTCTTTGCTGATCGTATGATCCAGATGGCTCTTTGTTACCATAAGCATTTGTCATGCCAAAACAGTTAAGCTAACCAGTTTTGCTAGCATTCCCAACTTATGGGCAACTGGCGAATGCTCACAACAGCTGGGCGTAAAATAATGCTGTTAAAAATTACAAAATTACCTAAACAACAATAGCAACAAGCTGTTAATTATTTAACTCAATTTTAAATAACTTATTCATTTCTTATAAACATGCTTTAAAAGGAAACAACATATTATCGAAAAATCGATAAAAGAGATGGAAGAGAATCCTGCAATTGATTTTTTTTTTGCACTAAAAAGTTAAAAAATTCTCAGTTGTTTATATCAGTCTTCTTAATTAAATTAAATTAATTATCTTTATTTCTTAATTTAATATTTCTTAATTTAATACATATATTATTTTTTACCACATATTAATTATACAATTGGATAAAAAATGACCATACTCCTTGAAAATATTAATGGTTTTAAATTTTCAAAAGCTTTATATCATTTGTAATTCCGAATTCTTTTATATTTAAATGCCAACATTTCAACTGGGAAAAAAGTGTAGATGTCATACTTAATTGGTTCATTGCACATTTCTTTCAAGCATAATAATTACACACTCTTTCTCTGTTTTTTCTTTTCTTTTACTTCCAATATAATCAGAATAATGCAAATTAAATTCGTAAATATAATGTTGCGTGCATACGGGTTCGTAATCGATTGAATGCACAAGTCGATTAAAAGTGTATAAAATTTATTCTTATCATAACAAGTAAAACCCAATGCAGAAATTTCCTCAGAGATATTCGCAAAATTTCGCAATATCTCACAGTAGTTATATTTTAAACTACTAAAACGTTGAATAGAACTCAATTCAAAGCAAAGAAAGCTAATCCGATCTCACCGCGAGTTCGCTACAATCAATAACAGGAATTAAGTAAACAACTGAACTGAGATGTTTTGATCCAGCTTTTATAAGCTTTTTAATCCTGCACGAGAACATTCTCGGATTTTCTAGATTTTTCTGGATAGCAAAAGAGTACAATTACGAGATATCTATTTACTGAAATGTTAAATGCGCTTGCTCCTGTATTTTAATTTTTCCGGCATAGCTTTCTCTTCTAATAAATCTCAAAACACATTCCCGTGCATTGCACGGGAATATAAAAGATTTTTAATTACAAATTTACTAAAAATTAGCAAATTAAATACAAAATCTGTAACAATAATTTATCAGAACTAGTAAATATGGAACCACGGATTTTTTATAGCTTTTTACATACAACTAAAACTAGAACAAATGATTTCGAAACTAACCATATTGGATAAACTCATGCTGTAGATAAATTAATAATGTATTTATTTACCTATTACTGTCTCATTATAAATTTCATCCCTGCCAGGCGTATGAACTATTAGCATAAGAGATGGCAAAGAAGAACCATGCTTATTCAAAGCTGAAACGAAGATGGAGTAATGTGTATTATTCTTCAGCCGTGTTATTTCCAATTCCGTATCTGATGTATTTTTCATCTGAAAAAAGAAAAAAAAAATGTATTCTTAAATTTTGTTAAACCATAGACTATTAGCTATAATAAAAAAGAAGCAAACTAGGTATGAGTGATGTAAAGCAGATATTGGCTATTGATGCAGGAAACAAGTACTGCGACTCGCCAGATTTCGAACCGTGGACCTACCTACTAAGCACTTACGTTAACAAAAAAGCGTGCACATGGGAAATGAGAAAGCCATTTATAATGTAATTAATTAAAATAAATATGTAAAATTCGATGCAACTTAAAATATGAAATTAATATTTCTTTTTGTTATCTAAGTGTTATGTTTACATCTACGAATAAATCTTATGGTATATTAACCAGATGGCCGTGCTGATATAAAATTAATAGAATTTTTATATTTGTTAACACAGATATTATTTTGCCAAAATTTAGAATAAGAGCTACTACAAGAGTAGTACATTATTATTGATACTTTGCAGTTGCGCTTTTTTTGTACATGCATAGAATATTCTAAGGCAGGGAATTTTTAACTGCTGAACCAATGGAGAAAATAAATGCACAATTCTTTTTCGAACAGAACAAAGATTCATGCTTCATTTATTCGGGATAATTTCTCGATTCAATCTTTCTCTGTAAATAGCTGAAGAAAGATCAGCTTTGAAAGATACAAAATTTAATGTTGGGATTCATCTTTGAATCATCATGATTTATCAATCTGTTACAATGCGCTCGTTTTGAACTATTGACTGTTGTGAAAAAATACACAAATTCTCTACATATTAGAAGATTTATTTTGTTTCTCAGGATTAAATATTTATAAATAATATTTCTTTTTTATAAAACATAATTTACTTGAATTCTTGTGTTCTTAAAAGTAAAATCTTATTAAAATATGCTAAACATTATTAATTATTCTTTTGAATATTACGCACGGCTTTTATTACATTTACTAATTACTTGACGTCAGATTACAATGATCTTTATTTTATTAAAGTACTATTAAAAGTATTGATAAAAGTTTTATTCATATATGTTTAAGGATTACAGAAATACGGAAGTTATACACAGAGGTAAAATTTCTGTAGTGTATAGTACAAAAACGTGAGTTGGTCTCTTAAAAAAACAGAATAAAGTTTAGTTTTTAATCCTGGCCATTATTATTATAGGTTTGTAAATTTTTCTAAGCTAATTAGAAGAAGAAAATAAAAATTCTTAGCCTTTTAATAGTGAAAAGTATTCCTAGATATGTTTTATTGAAAAATCAGAGAAAATATCTGAAGCCCAGGTTTCGGATAAACGAGAATCAGGTATCTCAATGACGAGAACCCTTTTTATTTAAAGGCAAATAAAATGCTTAAACGACACCTAAGCTTTTGGATAAACAAGAAATATATATCTCATTTTTAAATGTTACCGTATTTTTAAATCAAATGAGATAAATGTCTATTATAACAAAGTTTTCCCACTCCTTAACTTTTCAAAAATTCTAAAAAATAAACTACTTTCAAAATTCTGAGCTAAAACATTGTTTATTATTAGTTAATCTATCTTACAAATGTTATACCGATACCCTAATTAAAAATATGCTAAAATGTTCTTAATGATTACTTAACTGAAAATTTATGTGCAATTATATCATTTATGTATTTTTTACTGCTTTAAACTGTCCAGATTCTTCTAACTCAGAAGATTAATGATTTGTGTTGAAAAAGTCTGTGTTTGCTTCATATAATGTACAGAGAAACACAAATTATTATTTATTCATTGGATCAGCGATTTTTTAAAATATAAAGTGTTAAAATTTTAATTACCGCAAAAAAAAAAAAAAAAAAAAAAAAGTTATCAACTAAGTATAAAATAAAACTGAAACAAAGTAAAAATACTTTAGCTATTATTAAAACACTAATTAGTTTTAAAATATCATTTTGATCAAGTATTCATTACTTTAAAGAATTCCATCAATTTTCAAATAATTTTTTAAAGTTAAAAAAATATGGAAAATTAAATGCTAGCCTTTATTATAATTTTTCTTGTGAAGTTGAAATAATAGTTTTTCAGTATAATTTATTGGTCTTTCCTGGATTTTTTTAACTACAGAAAAGCATAATCTGGTTGGAAAAAAAAGATAAGAAACTTCACGTTAGCATTTACTCTCAATATTCACTCTCAATGCGTAAAAATAGGTGTGACACTTAGATAAACATTTAAAATAGAGAATCTAAAATTAATTACAAAGTCATATTCTAGAGGATGAGGAGGCAATCTGTCGTTTTTCAATTCACTGTGGCGTACTTCGAACCACACGATGTCTGGCGTCGTGTTATGGAAATTCCATTTCACAAGTATCCTCGTCGGTAAAATGCTTATCGCACGTAAATCTTCTGGTGGTGGTGGTAAAATTTCAGTTCCTTCAGCCATGCACTTAAAAAGGAAAATACATAATTAAAATACATATAAAAGAGCATGTGTTATCATCCATGAAAAATATGGACTCTACAACAACAGAGTATGTAATTATGATATGATACAAAAATACCATTCAAGTATAATATTTATTAACACACACCGATAAAAAAAACCCATAAACGTAAAAATTAAACTCCCAATTATTTATGCTAATAAATGATCTGATATGCGTAAATAACTGGAAAATACAGATAATCTAAATAAGGCCTTTTATCTATATCTCTGTTGTGATTAATTACTAGCTGGACCCGTGAAATTACACTAACTGGAGATCATTAAAATCATAACATATTTTTTCTTTTTTATAATAACGATTTTAGGCGGCTAGTATATTATTAAATAATGAAGAACCTATAAGCATATATGCATACTCCTCACATTGTGTAAAAATGGCGCCATCTGCAGACACCAAAATTTGAACATGTATAATCTTCCTAACAAACATGTGCATCTCGAAGCCCGAATTTTGAATTTATTTTTCATTTGTTTCGAAGTTTTTTTCTAACTGAATAAAGTTTTGACTAACGGACTCAATGATTGAAACGAAATCTGTGGTAGCTCATCAAGGAGTAAAATATATAGGTTTCAAATTTAACTAGACCACTCAGCGATTTAAAAGAAATGTAGTGCCTCTTGGCAAAGCGTGAGATATTTCTCTTCCAAATTAAATTAATAAACTCAGCGGGTGCTGGCCCCTGTCCGAAATAGAATATTTTTAGCTTCCTCGCTCCATTATGTATAATTTTTCTTTAAAATTTAACCTTTGTGTTAGTTATGTATATATATGTATATATAATGGTTATATATATATCTGCAGTTTAATTCGCGAAAATACTAGGCATATTTATATTTAGTTTTCGCAAGGATTGTTTTGTAATTATATATATTTATATTTAATTTTCCTTCCATTAAAAGAGTGTTATAGTCTTTTTTTTCCTTCTTTTTAAATCTGAACCATATTAATGCTCTTTCACACAGTATGGTTAATAAAGTACAAAACTATAACGTGCCTAAATCGGAATTCTATTTATTGGCATATTGACCCATATATTGTATAAGTATCTGTCTATACATTCTAATGCCCCACTGTGATTCACCTGTATTCTTCGGCTTTCATCTTTATTTGCACTTCCCATATTGGCTACATCTGAGTAACTGCGTCCAGAATACATTTATCAGGCATATCAGGCTTTCATCTTTCATTTATTTACTTATTTATTTATAATTTTTGAAGCCACTTTTTCCTGTTTTCTTGGTTTACATTGAAAAAATTCTGAACTCATAAACTCCGATATTCTTCAACTCTGGTTTCAATAAATCCCTATTCTTTTACCTCTTCCTAGGTAGAAACTGCCTGATTTACTATACCAGAAATCAATTTTTCAGAAATGTCAGAAATCCCAGGTTTTAACAATGAAATTTATCGTATTTCATTGAGGGAAAGCTCACACTGCTCCCCTCTTTGCTGAAACCCGAACCTAGTTAAATGAAAAGTGTTCAGCATTCTTGTCCAATTAGGTCACTGGTGAGATTAAATAATAGGGAGTTAGGGTAATTTTGAGAAATAGGATCTGTTATCTTGGATGTACTGCTTTGGTAGCTCAAGACTAAAGTCATAAGTTGTTTAACATTTGTTGCATCTGAAACTGTACAAGAAAATATGAACCATCCGTATTCAATAGATGTCACTTGCTACTTTACGGCATCGACAACATGAAGGTTCCTATCCAAAAAATACTTTCCAGATCATGTGGACATGTCTAACATTGTTTGGAGGCAAACCTGCAGTATTGTACCTAGGCCTTTTACTGTGCGCTAAATTTCAGAACAGTGCGTATTTTTGCTTTTCTGGAAACAGCAGTAAATTATAAAACGTTCGGATGCTAGACAGCCCAAATATATATAGATATAGAGGAGAAAAATTCTGATTAGTTAAGATTATATATGTTAGCTAGAAATAAAAATTGTTTGTAATTAAATATTTGCGAATATCTCTGCGGTAGCTTATCCTGTCATTTCCGAAAATAATTTTTTTTTTTTTTTTTTTTTTTGTCAAAATTGAGAGTTAGAAAATCAAACATGATATATTGGATTATAAATTATTTATTTCGATTACGAGATCATGTTTTGGCATTGCTATGTAAATTATATTCTAACAATAAACGGTAGGGAAGCAATCAAATTAACAAATTGATATCAATGGATATTAATTAATAAATTTCTTATTATACGTACAGACATGGAAGATTTATTAGGTATTCTAAATGTATTTCTAAAAATATTAAAAAATGTGAGCAATTTTAATTACTAGAATTTAGTCTAAAGGAAATAGCCACTTTAGAAATGGATTGTAAGAAGAAGCAATTTAATCGATTGTTGACAGTTGTGTATAGGTTAAAAAAAGAGATTAACCTTATTCGTAATAAAAAATAAATATAAGAACTTGTGCATTAAATTTAAGTGACGTTCCTTTCTGTTACGTGTAACAAAAACTTCTCACCGTATACAACTGAACTAAGATGCTTGAGGTCATTGAGAATAACAGATTAATTTTCTCAAACAGTTTGTAAATGACTTAAAAAATGATTTAGGAGCAGCATATGGAGCGAAATATTATCTCTTAATTTATTCTTACGTAACCAATAAATTTCAGTTAAACAGTGTAAAATTGCTCCGTTTTATGCAATCATTTAACTTTTTACACAATATTTCAAAAGGTTACGATATCAGGTTTCGTTATGTTCACTTTCTACGAAATGTGTCTTTCGGAAGCATTTAATTGAAAGAAAAGCGAGACAAATGCACATAAAGCTGGTGTATATGAAGTATTTTAGATAATTCGAAATGTAAAATTACTTAAAACGTTCTCAAGATGAACATATAAATTTTTTTCAGTATTCAAAGATATAGTTTCTACTTGTCCTGGGCTTTAATTTAATGAAAACTGCATCGTGTATAAATAGGCATTCTACCGATATATTACTGAAATCTGCGGTAAACTTTCCTTTGTACTTTTGGTCAGTTGGATAAGCGTAACTATGTGTTAGTTACCTAGTTACTTATGTCATTTAAAAAAAGTGTAAACTGAAAACTTCAGATTATAATTCATACTAATATACAGTGCACGCTATTCAGGATGTAGGATTCCTATTGCAAATGGAAGCTAGAAAGAAAGTTTTGAAACCTGTAAAAGACAAGATAGCGAGTTATCAATACGTCGTAAATACTCACAAAGTACTGAAGAAGGTTTAAAATAATCTTTCTGTTCTAGCCTAAATTGAATTTAAAGGCATCACTTGTGGCTATTTACATTAAATGGTAACAGACAATTAAATTCAAACTCTGATAACGTAGTAGACTACACATTAAATAGAATGAGTTGGCTCAAAGTACTTTACTCGCGAGCAGTTTAATTCATCGGTTAGCGAGAATGCTAAAGCAGGAATGTTATTATTAAGCAGAGCCGGCGAAAATTACTAACAGCAGACGAGACTGCCAGAAGCTTTCTCACTTAGATTCAAAACCTTCAGGGTAAATACATTCAAATCTAATTTGCATTCCGGTGAAGAATGCCGAAAGAAGAAGTTATCAAGTCAAAGCAAAGACTAAAATCCTAATAACTGGTTAATTAACCTTGTAGAGACATTAGAATTTTTTTTAAGCAGAAAAGAGGAAAATGAGCAAAGCTTTCGTCGGAAATCGAACCTCGGACCTCTGGAGTACGCGCCCAGCTTGCAGACCACCACACCATGAAGGCACGCCAGGAAGACGGGAGAAATACCTTATATACTCCCCTTTTAAAGAGCGACTGGGGTTTTAACGGACCCAATCGCCAAATCCTGGGTGTGGAGAATCACCAGCCAACACCCTTTTAGTTCGGGCGCCACTGTAGAGACATTAGAATTTTTTGGAATTAAGAGAGTTTGAAAAATGAGCAACACCTGCGCGGCGAATCGAACCACGGGCCTCTGGAATACACGCCTAGCGTGCAGACCACTACACTACGAAGGCATTCTAAGAAGGCGGAAGAAATACCTTATAACCTAAAATACTCTACAAAGTTTCAAAAAAAAAATATGAGATTAAAAAAATGGAATGTAATATGGTACGTAGATTTCAGTTTATTGCCTGAAGTAATTTTTAAGCTAAGGAATTACGATAGAACTTTTAAATTTAAGAATTAATTTCCCAGAAATTAAAAGTACAAAGCATAAAATCTTAAATTTAAAGTAAGCTGTTCAAAATGGCAAAGATAAATCACAGAAAAAAAATGTTATGACATTATTTCATCATAAATTAACACCACCTGTGATTTGTCCATTTATTTAATAAAAAAATTTAATTATTCATGACATAGCTGTATATTTATTTTACTGGATTCAGTTGCGCATGAGTGTTGCAACAAACATTTTCGTAAGATGGCAATAATTTCTATTTTACCAGGATACGAAATTCGAGAACTGAAAAAAAAAAAAAAAAAAAAAAAAAAAAAAAAAAAAAAAAAGCACTTGAAAGAGGCTTTATTTTAAGTATTTCAAATTACCTGAATAATATTTCCTGTATCTGACATGCAGGTGGTGACAAGAGCTTGTGGAGACATATCAAAGATACCAGAACAAATAGGAATGCACTCCCATCGGACTGCTCTACGTTGACAGCAAGGCGCATGATCACGACCCCCTGCTCCACATCGCACTAAGATTTCCAACTGATCACTGCACATTATAGCGAAACTTTGCAGGTCAGCCATTTTCATCTACATTAATTAAATAAATGAGAGTGTCAAATTCAGAAATAAAAAATGAAGTTTTAACCATGTTTAAACTACATTTTGAATCTTAAGCATGAAAATTTTAAAACTAGATAAAAAAAAAAAAAAAAAAAAAAAAAAAAAAAAAAAAAAAAAAAAAACGCGCTTTTTTATTCGATTAAATATGACTACGAAATAAAAAATAGTGTGAATTATGATAAGCTCTCATTAATTTGTAACCAAATACACATTAATCTGTAACCTCATACGAATTTGTAACCAAAAGATTTAAAATTAGTACGAGTATTTAACGCTAGTTTTAACGCTTTCGAATAGAATAATTAGGACTCATTGCGCTTTGAACTTTCCTAAGCCTCATTATTTTTAACGTAGCAAGCAAAAACTTTTTAATTTCCTAATGTAAGCAACGTATCAAATTGCTAATAATTAAACTAAATGTCTTCGAAACATTTTGTATCTTAATAGGATTTCAAAACGTTCTTCCGTATATTTACAAATAGTTTTATTATTTACACATTAAAGAAAGAAAAAAAGAACTTTTCGTTGTGCTTTAATTTGCGTTAAAAAATCACCTAAGAAATCATAGTTTATGTAAATTTCTTTCCTTAGATTTTTATTTAATAAAAGAACAAGACTTTTAGAACTTCTTTGTTGTTCTCTTGTCTATATGGAACAAAGGTTGCCAGCGCCTACTCGAAAGAGGTTGGACTTCCATTTTCCACCCGCAATTTTGAAAGAGGGCAACCCCGGAAGTCTCCCACCCCTCTCCCCTTCCACCCATCCACACGAGAGAGCTTTTGGCTCGCCGCATATTTGGAGTGCCGCCATGCCGCACCGACACTATACATTTACAAACATCCATGTCTTCTCCGGGATTCGAACCCGGGCCCTTCGGTGCCGTAGTAGGCTCTCTTTAACCACTATACCGTCTAGGCGAAAAAATTTCTTTGTAAACTGAACACTCGTTTATCATTATGTATTCAGAAGGATTCTTTTCATATTATTGAGAAATTACTTCAGGGAAGAAAAAAAATCTTAGCTGCAATTTCTTTGATTAAATGTTATCCAAGGTTAATAACCACACATTACACTAACTAGAAAAATTCAAGTTTATGAAATTATTAAGTGATATGAGGAAAAACCGCAAAATAACTCAAACGCTGTTTTAATTCATCTAGCAAAAAACTACGGATTTGGGAGCATTTCATTATTATACATCACCGTCGGTAACGTACTGGTGGGCATGTGGATGAAGTTTTATTGATAGGTAGATCTTTCCGAAAAGTAAAACTATGAAATTTTAGTTTTAAAATAAAGCTATTTTCAGTATATTATTCGACTAATCAGTATGTTATTCAGCTGCTTTTATAAAATGTTTGAAGTATAATGGTTTGCTTACGTTGTAGGTGCAAAGACCGAAACATATTTTTTTCAGTCCAGCCTTTTCGCAACATGCAGTTTCGTTGTATACGGGAATCTCATCAATAGCCTTTTGCACTGGATCCACTTCCGGAGAAGTCGTAAAGACAGCTCGTACAGATCCTCTGCTCAAACCGAAAGCATTCTTAGCTGCGACGTATACCTCGTATCTGTAAGAAGAAAAACAAATCTCATAAAACTACGTAACATTAGAAAGTTAAGACGTTGAGAGTAAATTTAGGATAAAAAAATGTCTGGCCAATAATATCACAGTAGTATATTCTAAGCATGAAATTTTATTAGGACCAATAGCCCAAACTGAATTCTTGTAGAATTTCCGATCGGATGTGAAGTGGAAATTTTATTTCAGGAAATCATGATAGGATCAACAATTTTCAGTTGTTTACATTCATCCAATTCCAACGTATTTACATCTTTCCTGAAAAAAGCTATGAAAAGTACATTCCACAGGTCTAATAAGGGATGGCTAAACTTCATATTAATAGCGGCTGCAGGTCAGTACCTTAAAAACTATGAAGAGCCCTACTAGACTTTTTAAGAAGTAAACATATATATTGTTTTAACAGTAATAAAATGTTTTAGAATACAAGAAGCATTTCATGTAAATTAACAAGATTTCTCGTTTTTAATTAATATGATCATAAATAAATAATTCATGTTTTACTTGCTCTTTTAGGAGAGTAGATTTCTATACGCATAATAAAAGCATTTCTTTGAGATAATGAGCGCTTCTTTTTTTCACAAGGAGAACTAAATATTTTATTTTTTCCAATGTCCAAAATCTTTCCTGATTTCAGTTTTTCCAACTGATCATGTAGTTGTAAAAGGAGAGAAGATAAAATAAGGGCTTTTAAAAAGTTTTTTAATGTTTTTCTTTCTTTAAACTTGTTCTAAAAAAGTTTAATTTATAATCAGTAATTTCAGAGAAAAAGGAATGTATTAGGATTTATCTTTCAAAATGTATTTCGAAAATGAAACTACTCATTATTACAACGAGAGCAACATTTAGAGGCTAAAGAGCCACAGTTTTGAATATAGCTGAATTAGAATATTATACTTAGAGTACACACTTAGATACTGACAGAATATTTTTGTGCCTGATTATATAAACTTTTTTCTAATACTGGATTCATCAATATGAAAGTACATGCCTTTAGATGTAAAAAACAATGAATAATTGATATTAAAACTCAGAGCTAATCAGAGCATTTAAATTTTAAGTATATGGTTGCAATGTCAGAATATAACGGTAAAATAATTTTGCCAAATGGTGCAAAGTATTCCGTACATTTTATATATTTGTTTTCAACTAACAATTCTGTAAAAATAACAGTAATCCACAGAGGGTTGAATAATGTTACTTAATATTATCTACGCTCATTTTCGGGTAAATGGATTAGTTTTTTGAATTTATTTTGGTTTCTTCCATGAGTAATATGAATACGAACTACCTTTCTTTTTTTCAGAAAACCCTCCGCGAAGGTATCCCTACTGAGGCAGATAGCCATCGTAGACTTAGCAACCCCCCCCCCCCCAAAATCTGTTATATACACCACATGACTTCATTGTACGGAATATTAAATTATACGCATTTTTTCCTGCATTTCATTTAAACTTATTTCCTCGAATTTCATTAGAGATATATTTATCATTCAATTAATTCAGTTCTCGCTTCACGGGCAAGGCAAAAATGCATGAAAACTCAAAATATCCTCATTAAAAATTGAAAACACAGAAAAACATAACACCAAATAGCGTTAAAACAACTAAAAAAACAATTTTTACAATTAAAATTACAGTTTCTACTCAAAAACAAGCAATTCGGCCAGCAGGCAAGAAGGTAGATTTTTCGGTGCACAAAACTAAAGGTTTCGTTTTGGTCCCACTCGGCAAAAAGACACTGACGGTGCAGAAAGACTTAATTCACTGTTCTGCTAAGTTTCAAATGTAAACAAAAATATGTATATTGATTATATATAATAAACAAATATACAATCGTATATAATGGGGATATGTCAAATGTAAACGAAAAATGGTAATTAGTATGATTCAAATGTAAAAAAATGAGGTAAGCCGACTTAACTTTTAAATTGTTGATAATTCTACAACCATTACATGCTGATTAACTAAAGGCATAAAAACCTTAACCGGAAGATGAGAATAATATAATTCAATCATTTTGGGAAAAAAAAAAAAAAAAAAAAAAAAAAAAAAAAAAAAAAGCTTAATTTATCAATATATAAGAATAAGAAAACTGAGATCACGGAGCCGAGTAACAAAGTGGGTATATATAGGTATATTTATATTTTTTGGTGTGGCCGATTGAGACCAAAATAGGAGATGCACAACTACGTGTCATAGCAGTCCTATGTATAAAATTTCAGCGTTCTGAGGCTACTAGTTTTTGAGTTATGCGAAATACGTAATATACGCACGTACAGAGAGAGGCCAGAAGTATCTCTTCTGAATCCATTTAAATCAGTTTTATAATTCGTTTGGGGGGGGGGAAAGTCCTTTATTTTTCCTTACGCACAGATGTCAGGGAAAAACACCCTTAAATTGCATTCGATAGTGGCTAAAATGGATATTTTCGTTGAAATATGATACCCGGAATTTTTCGTTATTACAATATACTTCCTTTACTTCGTACAAGGAAGTAAAAAGTAACACTTCTGATTGATGCAAAAGATACATAGAATAAGTAATTAAAATTAAAGAAATATATTAAAATATATAATGCCAATATAATACTAAGATCAGCATCACAGGGATAGAAATACATCAAGCAAGTTTAAAAAATTTCAAAAATTTATAGAATTATTTGAAAAGTAGAAATGTAATTTAATTTAGTAATTTCAATAGAAAGTAAGATGAAACTACTGCATTATTTGTTACTTCTAAAAGCGATAAAAATAAATAAAAAAATATTTTCACATCGAAATAGAAAAATTCAAATAAATAAAAAAATAAATCTAACGTTTCTCGAAAATAGTTAAATGCATTCGGTTTGTATAGTTGCTTTTCTGCAATTAGTTTTCATACTAACATAACTTTTTTCCACTATTTCCTCTGTATAATGGATCACGAGACCCCGAACTCTAAAAATAAAATAAATAAATAAATAATAATAATAATAAAAAGAAATGCGATTCCAGGTTGTTTCTTCTTGACCCAGTCCAGATTTCGCCTTAGCCTGAAATAAAACCAAAATATCCATTACAGAATTGAGAAATTACCTTGTTTTTGGTTGCAAGTTGTCCAACAGGTGGGGGGATTTCACATCGTTGACCACATTATATTCGATGATTTCATCCATTGCCACTTCCTTCCAATACAAGACGTAATTTAGGACTGTTTGAGGTAGAAAGCTGATGGAATACATTCAGAATTATAAAGGAGTGTATATTCACGAAGGTTAAATTACAAAATGAATACAGCAGTCCGAATAAAAAGTTCAAACGTAGGATTAGTTTAATTCTGCATGTTTACCTTTCCAATCTCTTTTACTAATATTTCATCATTCTGTTTTCAATATATATACAAAATTTTACTTCGGATAGGTATAATTTAAAACGTTTAGTATATTTTTAGGCAATAGGAATTTAAATATTACACTTTTTAAAATATGATGAACAAGGTAAAAGCTGAAAACATATTTTCTTGACAATTTTATAGTAAGAGTAGGCTCACCAGCGGGCAAATCAGATAAGACCACTGAATAATGATAATTTAATTCAGCTTCAGATCTCTTCAAGCGGGTTGGCTATAGATAACCAGATAGCTTAGTGTGCTTTGCTACAATCTAATAAATCCAAATCCAAATTATCCTAAAAATTACTGGATAATGTTTTAAATAATATAAAAAGGCTTCCTTACTTATACTAGGCATAGCGAAATAATCTGCACCGTATGTATTTTAAGAAAGCATTTATTTTAAAACTTACAGAACTGAAATAAAACTCACAAAAATAAAAAAGAGAGTGAAAATGATAAATGTAATTTTTCGAAGAAGGTATAAGCAAGCGAATAGATAGTTATGGAAATACGTGATAGTATGGACTTAGATTTGATTTTTAGAATTTATTTACTCAAATCATTTTCATACACAGGTTGGATAAAATAAGCAAGAAATAAACATGTCATAGAAATAAGGAAAAGCATATTGAAAAAAAGAAGTTATGAATTAATACAAAACGAGCTAGAGTAGCATCGTGGCAGTTGTGGTGGCACTTCACAAAAAACAGAAAGAAACCTAAAAAAAGTTTCCTAGAAAACCTAGAGAATCAAAAATGGAAAATTTTCTATAGATCAATGAATATTGTTTTAATCAAGTAACCAACGAACCTGCGATAGACTGATTAATATACAAGGCATGGAAATGAAATACTTAAGCAGTATGAATATATGGTTCAAGAAAAAACACTTAATAACAACTGTCGATGGTAAAAATCAGCGCTTTCTGCATCACTGCATCATGTATCTGAGCAATAAGTGTTGATGAACTTAAGGCGAAATCTTGTTCCAAGATGATTGATTCTTGAATGATGGAATCACAAATACGTTGCTGAAGATCTCAGCAGCTTAACAATTAATTAAAATTATTTCTGAGTGACAGAATAATTGAAAATGCATATCTGAAAGTGATTTTATATATCTTCGATTGTTGATAAAGGTGTTGATATTCGACGCGTCCAGATTGCACCCGAAAAGAATCTTTTCGACGAAGCGGTACAATTAGTCACAAACATTTAGTTTTTCGAGAAGTTATCGTACACTGAGGATAAAATGCAACTTTCACGTTTACAGGCACAGAATAATTTAAGCATGTATTGAGATGAAGGAAAGCTTTTATTCCTGAAAGTATTACCTAGAACCTTCCTTGGAGCTCAGAAGTTTAGCTCTGGGGGTGAAGTCAAGCAAGTAATCCTACGATGGGGCAGACGCATTAACAAATCTGTTTATGCCGAATTTTTTAAGGATCAGTTGAACGCAAAAATAAGTGCATAAATGCAGCATGGGAGTATTTCCAAAAGTTAATGTAATTTCCGTTCCTCGAAGTTTTCTGTTTCATTTTATAGCCTCAAAAGTCTCGGCTTCGCTTGAATGCCCCTCGTATGTTTAAACTGCCCAATGCAATCAACCTAAGGCAAATATTCAATATTTTTAACTTGCGGCCTGCAATCGAGTATTAATTGAATGTTTTAGTAAAGTCTTTGATTTCCTACCATCACTAAGGTACTTTCAGTTTCATTAAATCATTAAGAAACTTTTAAGTGCATGTGATATTATAACTCAGAAAAAATTCATTCTCAATAATATTGAGGTAAAAAAATAAATAAATCAGGTAAAATAGTAACAAAACATTAATTGTAAAAATACAGTTATTAAATATGAGAAGTACCTTGGTGGGCTCCACTTGAGCACAGCCCAACGGGAGTGAACCATGGACACCAGGAATTGTTCTGGAGGACCTGGTAGTACTTTGTAATATTCCAACAAGCAGTTACCGTAGATGTCTATGTGATCGAGGCAAACAAAATGGCGATAATCCAGTTGCGTGACATTACCTCTACAAAAATCTAAGCAAACTTCAGGTAAGCCTCTTTGATGGCAGCACTGGCTATGATCGGCGCCGCCTGCCATGCATTCAAATGTGATATTTACAAAAGGCGCACACATTAGAACGTCGGATAGCCTTAAAAAACAAGAAATAGCACCTGTTCAGAAGTTATTAGAAGTATCAGTAAAATAAACATATTTAATGAATTAACATACATTGCAAAAGAACTCCTAACATCTTAAAGTTCCAACGCAAGTCAAACTCTATAAATTAGTTGTTTCCTAACAAAATAAGCGAATAATAATAGAAAAGCTATGAAATATCGTCCATCCACCTATTGTTCTTTGTTTACTCCAAGAATCATTCTTTAACCATAATAAGTGTCTTTCCTTCAAAAAACCAGACGTTGGAAGCATGTTCATCACCAGTGATATGATGAGATTTAAATCCATTCTCTGAATTATTTTGGTTCTTAGCATCCTGTTATGCAGCATATACATCACCCAATTTAGTTTAATTGCTACAGCGTTTGGTTTTAAGAAAAAAAGTATTGTTAGTGTTTGCTTTTAGTGCAACAAAAGCAAAAATTTCGTTTAGTTTTAGCGGCCTACGTAAATTAATTTTGTTTCAATTTAAATAGAACTGAGTGTGTGTACAGGCAAATAAAAAGTATTTATTATTCATCATTATCAAAATAAGCGCGTTTTGCACTTTTGTTTAATATTTGTTGTGTGGCTAATTTATTCTCCTAAAAGTATCTACAATTTTTGTCGAAATAAAACAAGATAGATGAAAAAAAAAAATCCCTTCACTATGCCTTACTGTAAATAAGCATTTTGCCTCAAAGAAAAAAAAAAGGGGAGGGGGTGATCAACTGAATTACGTGGGTTCTTATTATAGGAATGAGTCGTAGTTAGAAAATGCGAGAAATGGAGTTATTTTGTAACAATTTTAATGATAAAGAAAAAATATATATCTAGAAACAAGAGTCTTGAACAAAATTTGAACTTTTTGATGTACAAATTTTGTTTAAGTTTGATGTTGAAGAAAGTTTGCCTACCTTAACCGGCTTAAAAAGCAAAATGCGGTACTGGAAGACTAAACCGTACTCGGTATTTGCATGCTAAAGTACTCGGTTATCTGTCTAACGGCAGGGATGCTTTCATGAAGGACTACCTAGGGATTTATATCTCGTATTTGTCATATGTCTAAGGAAAATAACAAGATCCTCTCTCTGGAATTGAAAGCGGTACACATATATAATCATCCGTTACTTTAAATTCTTTTAGATTAGCAGGTTACTTATTAGGACTTATTGGATAACAAATTGGGAAACATAGTTAATAACATTTCTTAAATATTTTGCTTGTATTATTCAGTTGTATGTTGCACTCATAAAAGAAGAAATCCCATTCTTTACATGGTGGCTCAAAGATGTTCAAATAAGGAAAGCATTATAAAATATTTTCTACCTGTCAACGACGGAAAACAATGTATTAATTCACACGTTTAAGAATTGGTGAAACACGACAACTATTTGCATTAGTTTCAAACTATAGAGCTAATTAAATTTCAAAAGAGAAACAATAATGTCATTGATATTAAACTGTATTATATTTCTAATGAAATGTATGAAGGTATTTTACTTGAAATTAACACTAAAAAAGAAGAATTCTTTTATTTCGCAAATTTTTGTTCCAGACGTAGTTAGTTAAGCAAAGGAAGGTTATACAGTTTGACTTGTTTTGGAGTCATAAACAAGTATCAAACCCTAACAGACTTGGAGCGAATTATTGCTGCGCCTGAAGATAACGACAAAGACTTGCGAAGGTTAAAAAATGACACTTTTATTAAAATACAACTAGAACATAAAATGCATGTCTAGTGCTTACAAATCAACCAACACTTATGGCGAGGTACCTTAAAGTAACAGTCAATCTCAAATTTAAATCCAAGTCTAGTAGCCAAAGGCTATACAGATTGATTTAAAGCGAACTTAGCTAAAATACTTTTCACCGGTATAACAAAATGACGGCAGCTATAACGCAAAGCCGAATAATACAGTCTTATCTGATCTAGCAGATACCTAGTAATGTGGCCTCGTGAGGCAGAAACATGCTTTGTCTAAAGAGGTTATCACACTTGGCTACAGTCCCGGCTAGACGGGACTTTTCTGAGAAACGAGATTCTGGAGGCACTGATTTAACCGGAAGGCTTCCTAGAAAAAAGAGCCTCGCCTGAAGCGACGTCCCGCCTAGCTAAGGAAACTATGTTGCGGCTATGCAGGAGTTTTTTAAACCTCACCGAAAATGTCTCGCCTGGACCACTGTCCCGGGTAGAGACAACCGATCAGACGAAAGTTCTGCTTCTGAAGCATCACGTGATCCCAATCTGAGCGATAATCGATTAGTGTTTGGCATTCAAGTCTTTGTAGTAAGTGAAAATGGTAACCTAGCTACGTGAGTTCTTGGAATTATGCGGGTTCTGAGAATTGTCCCTTTCGACGTCAAGTCCCGCGTAACCGAAGCATAATGTGATTGGGACATTACAATCTGAAAAACCTCACCTTTTAAATACTCTCAAACCTGAGCTGCATTCTGTTAGGGAAATGGAAAGGAGAAGTGACAGTAAAGATCCAAATCATAATAACTGCTTAGATTAACATAATGTAGCTTTACAAGGAATATTGCCTAAAAAATTTTGAAGGATAAGCTTCTTAATTGTTTACTTCCCTGAATTTGAGGTAATCACATTTATAGTAATGTTTCTGCACGAATGCAAAACCAAATTTTAGGTAATATCGCACGCTATGTTTAAGAGCAGCTACTTTAACTTTTTAATAGAGTTATCTTAAATTATTGATAATATTTGGTAAAAAAGATTAAAATTTTTAATTTTAAGTAAAAGATTAATTAAGAATTAGAATAACAAATTCGAATAAGACTTCATCATATCTGGCATTCGCAAAGCTACTACTTATTTCTTCCTGGCAGTTCACAAAAGAAGACTTCCTTTAAATTAATAGTTTTAATCAAGTTTTTTTTCCATTACATTAACTGATCTTTTCATTAAAAAGTAATAAACTATACAACTTAATTTCGTATATTTATTGAAGTTATGTATTTTAATTATAGCTTAATTTTAAAAAAGATACAATTATTTATTTCTCTTCAGATATAAATTTAAGTAAAAATTATTCAAAAACACAGAGCTCTGTAATCTTAAGTAAATTGCATATAAATATGTTATTCCCTTGAAAGTTTTTGTTATATTACCTTGTGTCTTCATCATCAGCAGGATCGCACAAACTCCTCAAACATTTACCTTCTGGTACACCTTTCTCTTGGCAGCATTTTGTAATATTTGGCAAGTGGGCAAAATAAGTTTCATTTGCACCAGAAGGTTCTGAATCCTGGTTGGGTGAAGCTAAAGTAATAGCACGTACAGCATTCGTCGGCATACTTTTACCATGAGAATTTTCGGATGTTATTTGGATTTCATACATCGTTACTGGCTGTAGACCACTTGCAACATAACTAGTTTTGTTGCCATCAACCTGAAGGTACAAGAATGCAGTTTATTTGCAGGAAACCATATTTAATTGTATTGCATTTAAAATATGAAATATATCGTATTTAATATATGAAAGAAATAAATGAAATTTTTATTAGTAATATGACTAGAGAATATAACTGATGAGGCCAAACCAGCATTCAGAAATCATCTAAGCTTGCTTTAATGAGTGAGTCTGAAAACTAAATAGTTTCAGAATATCTTAAATGACTGTTTCAAGAAGATGTTTCTGCGTTACACATAGTGCTAAAAAGGGGGGCTACAGATTTTATTTCCTTAAATATTGATTCTAGAATATATTTTCACTTACAGAGTTCCTTATAAATAATGTAATCATTTTATGAAAATAGTTTCAATATTGTGGAGGAGATGACCCTGTAAATAAAAATATTAAATGTTTATAAGGTCTTCACAGAAAAATTCCAATTATTTAAATATTCAAATATTCATTTTGATTTGATAAATTAAGTAAAAAATTATGTCTTATTTATCGTGCGAAATTCGCAAAGATATTCGAGAATGAATATCTCTGCTAATTTGTGTCAGTTTATATTTGTTTCAAATGCCTCGATCATTATTTGAGATTTTTCGGAGACACTTAGGACATAACGACAAATTAAAATTTCTGATTTTTGGAAATTAGTGGATCCACGACAATTAAAACAGGACTTGCAAGTGAAAAGAAATTCTGTGAATAACTATTTATTTTCATAACTTTGTTGTCTGAGAGTGAGTCTAATTTTTGCGTAACCTAATTAATTCTATTCTATTTTTCTGGTACTCTTTTATTCTGTAGAGTTTAACACAAACAACTGTTTTGTTGTTAACATATTTTGCGACAATTTTTCTATTAACTTTATGAAGTCTCGTGTTCTTTGGTAGCATCAAATGTACGAAACTTCTAAGATATTATGTGAATTATCACTATGTTTTGTAAGGGAGAAAAGGTGTAAAGGACCCTTTTATTTAACTCAAATAAAAGTTTAACGGAAGGCATCGCTCTTGCTTACAGAATAGCCAGTACTTATGAAGTAATACTTAGTATTTAAATAAATACTATTGAATTTGACTTAACTAAGTAAAAGTAAGTTAGCTCAACAGCTAACTTACTTAAAGAGATGATAGAGAGATGCGCAAGTTAACACTGACCTAAAGTTAGCGTGATAAGCCTAATGGCGAGAGTAACGCAACGCCGCAGAATACAGTTCTCAAGACAATTAAATAACTTAATAATGTGGTCTTAAGCAGGTGAAACTCGCTCTAATTCTACCCTCTAAAACCTCCCTTTAAATCTGTTATCTCCCTTCAACCTCATTTGAATATACGCGAGCTAGAAATGTGCATTCTGGTAGGAAAATGGGTAGCGTGAAGGACAGAAAAGCAAATTAACATAAAATAACTTAGTGGAACTAAATGAATCCTTAAAAGCTTCTTTCTATGTATAAAAATCTCACACTGAGTTTATCTCACCAGACTTTACTAGACTAGTGTCACCAGACTAGAAAAACAAACCAACTGGCGCCATCTGTTGAAATTAATAAAAAATGTTCAGTTCTAGTCAATGATCCCAATTCTAATCCGTCTTCAGTTTTTAAGGAAAGTATTTCATGGCTGTTTTCACATTTTGTCAATATATAGCGCAAGTAGCTATAAATTATCACATGTTTGTTGTACAATGATACATAGAGTTCTCCTTTTTCACTTCTGCAATGTTTTATCAGCGGTCGAGCGGAATACTGGGAATTCGATCCAAGCTCGATTTCAGGTGAACGGCTGGTTACATGGTCGTTTTCATGGTTTTTCCATATGTAACGTAAATACGAGTCTACTTCACTCAGAAAACCCTCCACGAAGGCATCCTCCCCTTAGGTAGAAGCCGTAGTGGGCTTTGCTATAACGAAATAAACCAAACCTGTAGCTTTCCCTTAGTTAACTAACATCTTATTTAAATTTTTGTTATCGTTCCTGAACTCTTCAACTTCCCCTCGCATTTCCTCGCCAGGATGTACAGTTAAAGTGAAGTGAGTATTTAAACGGGTGAATCTTTGAGTTTATTCAGAGCGTGTTTTCGCTAGCCAGCGCACGTTTCATTGCTTATCTCGCTGACACGCTAGTATGCCCCTTGGCCATTTCGGATATATGTCACGCCTGTTAGGTTTTGTTGAGTCAACCTAAGTTAGCCATAACTTAACGTGCTAATCCAGCACTGTTCTATTTAGAATTGAATTTATTTATGCTATAACGTTTAAGTTCCACTGCAGGTGGTCGGTGTTAATGTAAAGCATGAAGTATACGCCTTTCTGTTCTGAGTTGAATTAATAAAGGGTTATTTTCACCCTTCTTCTGTGCTGATATTTAATTCATGTCTGTGCGAAAATTCGCCTGGTTCATTTGCAGGATCTAGTTTAGTTTATACGACCTAAAAAGGCTAGATCTTATAAACCTTAGTCATTTTCACTCTTGCAGTTCTAGTCATGCAAATTTATGCAACATATGATTCTTCTTGCTTCAGCATCTCCAACATTCTAAAAGTACGATAGCTGAGCTCTTTCGTGCAGAATATTTAGAAAGAGCTGATGCATAAATAGATTTTAGTATGAAATCGAACTGCTGATTAAATTAGAAATGGGCACCAATTTTACTGTTGTAAAAATTGGACGGTACACATACCTACAGGAGACCAGTGGGTGAGCAGCTGTTCCGCCAAGAAGACTTTCAGCTTTATTGCTCACTCAGTGGGACCATGTTTATTTAAATTTTATAATATATGAAATTTGGATATATACATTAAATATTGTACATAAATATATACATTAAATAAAGTAATAAGAAATATTTTGATAAATATACATAAAAATTAATTAATTCTAATATGAAAGTACTGTAAAAGCTAATGAGATGAAATATCTTGAAATATGAAATATGTTGAAGCATGAAATATCTTGAATCTTGGGTTGACTTTATGTTCCTTTTAAATGTTCACAGTTTTCTATTAGATATTTGGTTAAACCATGCAGTTTATTACGAAGGAAATTACTTTTAAAGAAGTTGTTTCAACCAGATTTGTGCGTTCACAGCTGTGAAGGGGCGAAAGTGGAGATGTTTGGTTTATTGAACATTCGAACATTTATAATGATCTATTGTTCCTATTGAGCCACAGATGCAGTTGTCAGTATGATGGAAGCCAAAACGATGAAGATATGAACTATAAGGTCCATGTGAGGTAAGGAAATAAGTTATTGCATTATTTGAAGTTATTAAATTCCTTGATGGTTTTGGTAAAAATAAGTATGTTCGTCTGCCTGTATTGAGAAATCTACTTTAGTATTAATGAATACGTAAAGTCAATTGTAAGATCAAGGTCTTAAGAAAAGAATGTGGGTATTTTACACAGTCCCCATATGAATAAGTTTCAGCTTTATTTTACTGCCTATTACTTCATTAAGATAGCTAGTAATTCCTTGTTATTGACATTATACATCAAGTTCTTAGAAAGTCTGGTACTAGTTTCTAGGTACTGATCTCAAGTATCTCCAGCCAGAAAATGAAAAAAATCTCGAATAAATCCCATTAGTAATATTTTTCATCGTTGTTCCTCATGTTAAGATGATAGATTACACAAATTACTTGAATCTTATTCTCAAGTACGTGTAATAAAAGTGATAAAAAAGAGCGTTTTCATAAAACTAGCGCAATCCAATTACTTACAAGAACAGTCATGAAAGTTTTCACTGAATTTGGTGATCCACTTTTCTGCATTTTATTGACTTTTTTCTGATCAACCTTATAAAATGAGATAATGTAAATAATTAGTAATCACATTATGGTATTTATAAATACGCTTGAAATACTGTTTATAAATACATAATATCAATTTTAATGTTAAAAAAAGTTTAAATGTGTGATTCTAATAAATTTAGGAAAACACATAATTAATAAATTAGATTAAATAATCAAATTAGATTACCATTCCCGATTCCAGTTCTTGTAAATCGCTTAGTTCTTTAACCAACGTAAGATTAATATGATACTTCTCTACAGGTATATCTTGAAGTGGTGGCATCCATTTTATTTTCAATTCAGAGTCTGAAATAGCTTCGACGGTTACTTCTTGAGGCGGGCCTGGTAGTAACTCTACAAAAATTTTTTATTGCTTTTAAAACAAATTAAAAATTACTGATTTTATAGAAAAGCAAGTACACATCTTGTCCGGTACGCACATTTAAAAATTTGAAAGAATTTATACTGAGTTAAAAACATAAAAATATATTTGTCTTAAAATGTCAGTCATATTAGGGTGACCGTATTTTAGTTGAGTTCAAAAGTAAGCATTTAAAAGTTATTAATTAAGCAATTTTGGAATAAGTCTGACAGATCATCAATAAATTTATGCATCCAAAATGTTTGTTGAACTTTTATAGGTTGTATTTAGGTATTAATGCAGCTATCTTGGTACCAATTGGAGATTATTTTTACAGATGAAAAAGTAAAAGTTACTTGTCGGGTACAAGTTTAAAAACTTACGAAATTTCTTTTGGAAAGATTCCCAAAATACCGATATTTACCTATTCCTTCAGCAATACAGGATAACGTTGGCACTGTGTAATCCATGCAGGAGTAATGCTGCCGAACAGTGGTCAATGCGTAATTTCCGGAACACACCGATCGGCAGACTTCTGGAATATTCTGTTTTACACAACAAGGAGTGTGGTTGCGTCCATCTGCGTAAAAAAGTGAAGAACAGAAAATTAATTTTCTTCGATAAAATTTTAACATATGTGTTGCTTTGTATGAAAATAATGTTATACGATTCATCCAAAGTACAATTTGCCAATCTTTGGCCACTGTAATAAAAGTTTACAATATATATACATACGCGAATGATACAAAGTAGATCTTTTTGGAAGTAATCACAACCAAAGGGAAGATTTTAAAAACCATTTTCAGTTTTTTTGAATAATAATTATTAGATGCTTGCAGAAGTTTGCTGGTTTGTTAATAAGTAAAAACAACCGAGAGTCAAAAGTTTTGTTCTTCTTTTTTCATTCTTTTTCTTTTCTTCTCTCTCTCTCCCCCCTTTTATAAATCTAAAAAAGAATTTACTCGTAGTTTATCTACCACACCTTAAGTCATAATGTAACTTCAGTTTTATTACAAGTGGGGTATGATAAAATGCATGTATGATCTGTTTTGTTTATTGCGAAAACAAAACAGATCATAAGCGAAATCTTTTGAGTGAACATTGTTAGTCCAAAGAGGCTTTGTCCGTGAGGGACTATTGTTCTCGTTTCGCGATTTTGTGTCGAATCACTCTGAGTGTCCGTTTCACTTTTTAAACTGTTGCTACCAAATATTATCGCCCTGTATTATATTTGAAGAAATTAAATAATGAAGAATCTGCATAAACGTATGTATGTTTCTCGCATTGTGATAAAACAACGGTACCTAGAACCATCGAATTTTGAATGACGTAATCCTACTGCAAATATGGGCATATGGAAGTCCAAATTTGGAATTTGTTTTATTATCCGTTTCATATTTTGTAAAACGTCAACGAATTTTTGAGTAGCAGACTCAAGGATTTCATAGCGAGCAATTGCAACGTTGTACAGGAAAAAAAAAAAAAAAAAAAAAATTATCTGCAGCGCGTGAAAAATGTTAAAAAAACGCCCTTTTGGACGTAATTAAAAACCTGAAACCTTTCAGATTTTCCTTTGTCTTTTTATTTTTGTTAGAAGTAGTTTAAAAGATTCAGATATGATGAAACTAATGTAATGAGTTTATTGACAAGTATATAGAAGCAATTCTTTACATATCTCCCAAATGATACCATTAAATTGGAAGTTTCCATACGAACATTTAGAGATGTCAAACTGCATTTAGGAAGACAAAAAAGATATTAGAACTTTTTGATAAAGCTCAAAAAGTGCAAGTAAATGAATAAAAGAGGTTTATTGTTCTCAGTTAAATAAATATGTTTAAAAATCCAATGGGCTGTTGCAAGTGCCTATATGCAATTCCTTAACAACTTAACAAAATTAGAGACCAAATTAAAGATAAAGCGATATTCCTACATAAATTTAAATATAAGATAACTAAATCCGTTTTGCTAAAATAAATAAGGGTTTTACCTGTAAGACACTTTGTTATTTTTGGTAAATGGTCCATGCATTGCCAAGGATTGGATTGGCCGCCCATTATCACAGATTGTAAGCTGCAGAATTCTCGACAAAATGTTGGCACTCCATTTTTCACACAGCAATCTAAATCGATATACAAAGCACATAGAAAGCAGCAACAAGATATATATTTAATAAATTGCTTGAAATATCCCAGTACTATGCAATTAAAATTCTAAAGTTTGATGTGTCAAATAAATTCCTTTAAATAAAAAAAAATTAAATTATTACAACAACTAAACAATTAAACAATAAATAAAACAACAAGGTGTAACGCATGTTCTAATATTTAATATACTAATTTTGTAAAGAATCAGAGCTTAGAGATAATTTTGGAAATCGCGAAATGAGGTTTTAACGTATACTGAGCAATGTGTGATTCTGAACTAATTCTATAGGAATATCACAAATTGAAATTTCAGAATATATTAAAATAAAATGTTTTAAATGATCGATTATGATCCGCATCAAATACGAAAACAGCATCCGTTATGTAGAAAATAGATCGTTGATTTATAAATAACCCATTAGGTCTGTAAATGTGGGATGAATTTATTGACAAGTATATAGAAGCAATTCTTTACATATCTCCCAAATGATACCATTAAATTGGAAGTTTCCATACGAACATTTACAGATATTGATATACCATACTATTCGTTCATAATTAAAATTAGTATGCAATTTTAATTTTAGATATTCGTCATTAGTTTCAGAATTAATAAAATATTGCTTTGTTTTAAAAGGTGTATAAGTAACCTACTGTAAGAGAAGATTATGAGAATGAAAAAAAAATCACTACAGCTGCTTATCTACAGAACTATAGTCTAATTTATTTGAAATTTGGAACCTAGTTTGAATTCAGACAGAAAGAATATTCTGTTTTTGAAACGAAAATAATCAGAATTTTGAAAGTCTTTTAAACTAAATTCTATTAGATAGGTTTTTACAGATTTAAATTAAATTAATCATTAAAAAAGTAATTAACGTATTTATTTATTATTTTTTTTTGATTATTTATAGAGGAACCACGAAGGAACCTATTTTTTAACCTTGGTGTTAAACATTAAGAGAGTAAACACATTTTTTTTTGAATTTTTCAAAACTGAATTAAAACGAGAAAGTACTTCGTGTGCAAATTAATTGGAACAAAGAGATTTTTTAAATAATTTACATAAATACCTTCATATAGAGTAATAATAATAAAATAGGAAATATGTCCTCCTTTAGCAGACATTACCTCTAAAATGCATTTGCGCATATAGTTTTTATTTCTCTATCATAGAACTACATTTTTATTAGCGTTCTTAATCGTGCGCTATATTGTTGTACAGTCCCTTTTGCTAAGATGTTCCTTAAGATCGAGTTTTCGATCGGATTTAAGTCTGGTGAATTTCCAGGCAAGTCTAGCACAATAATTTTATTTTCCAACATGAACCTTCTGACATATTTCGAATTGCGGCATGGAACCAAGCCATGTTGAAATGTTCCTAAAAAGCTTTTCAAGAATGGCACAATAATACGTTTTAAAATTTTTATATGTTTTTATGAATTTATCATTCCATCTATAGGAAATAGACTTTCAATGCCGTGAGTTCAATTGGTATTCCTGTCACTGCAGGACAGAGTTTTATTTTACGCTGATCAAAACATAAATCCAACTTTATCTGCAATATACAGCAACATAATATAGCGTTTTATGAAGGTACCCCCTCATGATAGTGACTTTCGTTAATGAAAGTGGGAAGGCCGAAAATTGATGTTGTAACAAAATCTTGTAACATCATTAGCGAAAGGCGGTATCTTGAGTAGGTACTTTAATTACTGTATGCGTTAAATTGCTGTATATCCATATTAAATTTCATTAAATTCTGCCCGATAAGTCTTGAAAATTTATATTTTTTCTCTTAAATTTGGATACCAGTGTATTAACGTGGGCATCAAAATTGTTCTTATTATTTTGCTACTGAGTTGAGAATATCTATCACGGCTTTAATTTATTTTCTTAAAACTGATTATTTTTAACAATTATTATTATAAAAAATTGGAAATGTATAATAATTTCTAAATTGTTGCGAAATTATTTAATCACAGAGATACAATAATCCATTACCCGTACTAAATTATAAATAGGAACTTACTCGTATAATTATGATCCACAGGAAATGCTTTATTATTACTAGGTATCCTTTCTACTACTGTAAAAAAATAAACAAATAATCAGTTACCTATAATTATAACTGAGGATTAGAAATTTTATAGCATAACATATATATTAAGTCGAAGACTAGGCTGGAAATATTTCTACTATCAAATTTTTTCAAAGGAAGAAGATATCGTGATTTTGAACGTATGTTTTTCAAAAGGAATAAATACGATAAAAGTTTCATTGGAACTTTTTGTCTCTATTTTTGAAACCGAGTTTTGAAAGATCCAAATGAAGATTAAAAAACTGAAATAAAACTACATGGAATGTTCTTGAAATTATACGTTAACATTTTATTTGAGATAATGAAGATACACATTGAATAGTATTTTTATTATAATAAATTAGAACATACTATATTCACTTTGCAAATAGTCATTTCTTAATAAATATAAGCAAATCACATTGAACTGAAGAATGACAAACAACGAAAAGCAAATTATAACTTCTTATCGTCCCAGTATAAAATAGAGAGATGAATCCTTAAAGAAAAATATTATGAATAGAGACTTTTTAAAATTAATGCTGATTGCACATAGATCCTTCTCTAACGAACTAGAATTTTACTAACATTATGCCCTGCTTTTAACAGAAGGGGAAGCGTGAAGAGTGAATTCAATCAATTTTGTTTTAACTCAAGGTCAAAGGAGGTTTCAGATCACGTAATAAATTAGAAATTATTCGAGCCTTGGTAGCTTAAGGATAAAGTACTTATATGGACTGAAGAAGGGACTTGCGTTTAAATTCCAGCCAAAACTCAAGTCATTATAGTGGTACGTAAGTCTTTATATCGAAAGCTGAGAAAACCGTTTCAGAAAAGGTATTTTCTGTTTTGAAGTACTGTTTTATGTTTTAAAGAAAAGAGGAACTGACCCGAAAGAAGTCGGTATATCTGCATTCTGGGATTTGTGTTCACCTCGCAGATATATCTTCCCGAATCATTCACTTGTGCTTTTTGTATCTGCAGCACCCATGTTTCATGGCCTAGAATAATAAAACAAGAGCTTTAATAAAATGACAATGAATTATTTCTGACTTTTTGATTTTTCTAGATATTTTTCTAGATATCTTTTTGATTTTTCTAGATATTTTTAGGAAATCTGAGCTTTTAGTAGAATAATAAAGGAGATACCTTTTTGGTGCAGCAGAGAAAACCTGGAATCAGGTATGATACGGACTTCACCTGCGCTTAAAATTTCTGTTTTGTTTGAGCCTGGAACGACTCTTCTCCATATTATCTGGCAAAGAAATTTCATATGAGTATAGGAAAGTTACACTAGTTTCATTACGAAATCCATAAAAATATGGAATAAGCAATTTGTTAATTTAAAGTCTCATATTTTAGCATTTAAGTTTTTAAAATTAATTAAACTTCTCTAAATATGTGTACGATGTAAAACAAAGAATTGTTTTATATCCCACACGGTGTGTCATTATGAATTTTGATGTTAATATGAATCATGCAGTTGATAAGCTTTAAAATACGTACCGTATAATTTTGCAGATTTTTGACTACGCAGTCTATAAGAACAGCATCCCCAGCCACTGCCAGCAGGGGCTCTAGAGGGGTCGCTTCTAATGTAGGAGCACCTGCAACGAAAGAAAAGAGTATGAATACATAAAAAAATGAAATCAGTTTTATTTTTGTAACAAATAACATAATAAATGAACGTAATAATAACAGAAGTCCAATCCGTGAAATATTTCAAACGTGTAAGATATTTGTGAAGCTACGAGTTTCAGTTTTATATGATAAATGTTGTTCCAATAGTTAGGAACCTAGTTAGTGTTACAAGTTTAAATATAATTATGTATTCTGGGCTGTATATTATCACAATTAGCACATGCTCGCATGTGCAATGCAAACAGATATATTAATTAAATGTAGTGAATGAAAGTATCATGCAGCACTTAAAGGAGATTTTTGATATTTTATTATCCTCTGTAATTTATTTTATCTTAACAGGAGTAGAAATTAACCCATAACTATTTCGAAAAAAATTTCAATATCATTATCTCCGTACAGATATCAAAAATGGAGTCTAGAATCTTCTCAGATGTGCGCAATTCTACAGGATGTCTCTCCTAAGCACTTCTAAATATTTTTTAAAAGGCACAACTAAGCATTTGTGCCTAGACAGAAAGAAGATAAACCAAAATATATAATCTGACTATCAGTAATTTAGTAGGACCTTGTTCTTCTATTTTTGTTTTCCATATACATGGCAAAAGTTTCAAAAAATTGATAACTTAGGTTCGCTTTTTTCAGATACATTGGATTTTGACAGAAATAAGTGACTATTTCTACTTTGCTAAAGTTTGTGCTAAACCAGAAGCAAAAAAGAAAATTAGAGATAAAAAAGAGCGATGTTAAAAGCAGCGGAGGGAAAAAAAAACTGTAAATTTCTTTCTTTATATTCAGCAGTATCTGCTTGATGTATATACCCCATATTAATTTAAAAAAGAACCTGAAGTGGTAATAAAAGATATAAGTATCTCAGTTGCAAATCAAGGGATTTCTTATACAGGTAACTTTACATTCCACACCAAGGAATCGTTCATCTTTCGGTGTTTCAGATGTATAAATCTAATTTCAAAACAATCTGATACAATTTATTTCCTGCGCCGTTTACTTTAGTTTCTGTTCTAGATTTTAACAGGTAGAATAACATATTTTGACTAGGATATCTTAGAGGCTCAGTGTTGATATGGCTGAATATAAGAAAAAATTGCAAATATTAAACGTAAATTAAATAATTGTTCAAGCAGATTCTTTTAAGATGACAGATGGTGACTAAAACAATTAAATTACTTTATTTATTATTATTTAAAGACGTATGCTTTTACTTCTATTTTTCCCATTAATAACTCAAAAGCTATTAATAAAAAGAAATGGTTTTCAGACAATAAAAATAATCTTTTCAGGAGTGACATTTTGACGCGATTGCAACGCCTACGCGTATTTTCCATTTAGTAACTGACATTCAGAAAGAAAGGTAGGTAATAAATATTAAAATCTTTCGAAAGTTTTTTTCTCCGTAAAATGTTATTTATTTTCTGTGCTAGATTTCTGTGTCGCCAACGGACCATTACAGCGTTCAAGTTTTTATCGCCGAAAAAGTTGAAAGTTAAGAATTAGGACAGAGACAAAAGGCAAAGAAATTTCGTTATTTCTCGTTTTCAGTAGGTAAATTTGCGTTTGTGAAACCGTTAGTATGGAAGGGAAAAAAACTAGGTTATTGGTTATATATTATGACTCAGCTTTAGCAGAGAAAAAATACTTTTAATGCTTTTTTCCCAATTTTATTTACATTACAATGCTGTTACGAGAGAACGAATTCATCGTGTTTTAAATTTACTGGGAAGAATTCTATAGATTTTCCGTAAGGATACTTACTAAAATTATTATAATCATTTGATAAAAGGCTTTTTAAAAACTATCAACTATAGAAAATTATTTTTTACATCTAAAGTAGATCAACTTTTAGTTACCCTCTACCTCTTACACTGCCTCAGACAAATATAATAGAGCGTTTTCAGCTTTAAAAATTACGTTGGGAGAGTAAAAAAAAAATATATTCTATTTCTTTTGGTTAATTCGTGCTCTTTTAACTATAAACTGCAGCTTTAAGTACGTGTATTATTATTAAACGAAAAATGAATAATAATATATATCATTATAAGTTAATAAAAACTGTTTCCAAAATTAATATTATTACTATTCAATATGAGTGTGAATCTGTTCAAGTATCAGTAGAGTGCATTATTATATGAAGTACGAGAAATAAATTTTGAAAATATAAATATACAAAATATTCAAGAATATAAGAACTTTTTTATTTACTAAAGCATACTGAGCGACGATATAACTTATGGAGGGAAATAGGGTAAAAATTAATATTTAACAATATTTTTCGATAGATATTTTTGCCACCAAACGACTTAATACATTTCCCGAAAACAAGAATTATGAAGAATTTAGCAAATGGCTTGCTGAAAAATGAATTCTTAACAATAAAAAAGTAAGTACACAGTAAAGGCAGTTTTATACGCTTTCGACCAATACAAAAAGTATATTTTATTTTCTTATGCATTTCAAGTGCCATTTGAATTCATTAGATTCCTCTATGTAAAGTAATTTATTTTAATTACTAATCTATAATTTAATAAAAACTCAGCTCTTTGCATGACGCTTTAAAAATATAATCTATAGACGTATTATTATTCACTTATTTTCATTCAAGGTTGTTTAAAGATTAGGTTTCGAGGAATATCGACAGTTTTCCTCCTTCAAGTTCAATTAGGGCAAAATTTCGTCATGCCATATTATTTCTTACTGATAACAAAATAGAAGTTTAAATATATTACGCAACAGCGAAGTTGCTTTTTGTTACGTATCGTTACTTTAGAGTACTGTAATGAGAGGGAAAGTTATGCATTTATTCGGACAAATCAATGTCAAGGGCTTTTTCTTTAACTTTTGCTTGATAGGTGTGAAATAAAAACATTTAGGTCATATGACATTTTGTCACAAATCGAATTCATATTTAATGTACCTATTTGCGCTCTATTGACATTTAAAGTAGTAATGAAAACAGTCGTAAACATGCTTCAGGATTAAAGGATAAAATGCCGACGTTTCTAAGAAACAACATAATACAACAGGAAGTGGAACCAAAGACAAATCGATATTTAAAAATTCGGAATATTCGGGCTCATTGTCTTTATTTGTATTTATTTACTCTTATGGAGTGCGTGAATTTTACCTATTTTATCGTTTATCATATTATATTTTAAAAAAGTCACACATTACTACTACAGATTTCTCCTGTATAATTAAACAATTGAATCACTTCTTGTTTGCCTTAACACACAACCATTTCTATTTTAATTAAAATAAAACGACGAAATACAATTTTTAAGTAGGCCTTGAAACTAAGCGGACAATGTTTTATTATTATTTATATAAAAAATTTAATGAATTACTACTTGCATTATTACTAAACAAAAAGAAAACGTATTTTTTGTTTGCTTAAAACAACATACACAGCTTATTTCCCCTCAAATAAAATTAACTAAGACGTTAATTTTTATTCCAGTAAAACAATAACATTTAACATCGTGGTTGGATTTTTGCATTTGCATTTTTTAATAAATTCATTATTTTAATGAAATATGCAATAAAAATGCAAATAAATTAACAATAAGCTTAATTTTATTTCGCCTATAAAGAACAACGAGTGATCTAGATAATTGAATTTGCTGATATTTGGAGTCCAAACAATTTTCAGATTTTGCGGATATTTGAACTTTAGCCTCTTTACTTGGTAACATTTACTAAAAATTTATTTTGTGATATACATGTTGTATCATTATCGTTTTTAATACATTTGATAATAAAGAAGCATTTAATTTTTTCTTCGGCTATGCATTTTGGAAACATTAAAGGAATCAAAATTCCCGCAGCTGAAGAAAATCCTATTTAACCTCCGAAACTATAGTAAAATTTACTCATCTTAAGTTGTTTTGGGGCTGTAGTATCCTTAACTTAATAAGTAGCCATTGTCGTAAAAACGAATAATGGGCAACAAATTACAGCTGAAATGGTTTTGCGGAATTATTATATTTTAAGGGCTGGGCTGTAATAAGATTATTAAACACTGAAAATTCATCATGCTTCGAATCCCGACAAATGAATGGCCTTATATCATGGGTTTTTCTGATTTTCCTACATGCAATGCAAATATGAAACAATTTCCTTAAGAATCTACATAGCATCTACATAGGAATTTGTCTTAAAACTACCTAGGAATTTGTTTTAAAACATAAAGCATAGGGATGTTTTAAAACATAGGACATGTCTAAAAACATACAGCATGTCTTAAAACATAGAGCATGTCTTAAAATATAGAGCATGTTTACAAACATCTACATAGGGTTTTGTCTTAAAACATACAGCCGTTATGTAACAATTCCTTGCTGATAATAATAATTTGATTATCATGTTTCCTTTTTGTAATTAAAGCCAGTTATTTATCATTTACATCAAACTCACAGATTTATAAACTGATGCTGAAAGCGCATTATGGTGTATGAGCAGCCCAGTAACTTTATCGCAATATGAATTTTCACCACTGTTTCATTGGTAATGTGAATATGAGTAAGTTTTATTTAAAAAGTCTTTCCGAATGCATCCTTCTTCTCCGTAGATAGCCTTAACATGGTTTCTCAATAATACTTTCAAGAAATTTTAGGACTGTTTAAGATTTCCTGAATGTTGAACATGTATAAGAACTTCCGGTTTTTCGTAATATATTTTAAATTTCTGTTTGAATTGTTAGGTTACTTTTCATATTTAATGTATTTTCCATAATTTTAATACTACCTTCCATAAGAACTTATGTGATAAATACTCTTTCTATACCAAATTTCAAACCAGAAGTTTGGACGTTAAACTATTATGCTTCAGTTTTGGAGACTCTAAAAATATAAGAAAATGTCACTTTCTAAAGTTAATTAGATTTCATTGATTTTTAATGCTCACAAACAATTTCGATTTAAAAATACGTTTTTTTTTTTTTTTTCTCAAA